ACCACAAACGACTTCAAAGCCTGGATTGATGACAAATAAGGTGATGTTGTGTGTATGGTGGGAAGGGAATCGTCCATCATGAGGTTGTTACCACATGGCCTAACGATTAATTCAGAGCTCTACTGTTCACAACTGGATAGATTACAAGAAGCGATTAAGGAAAAACGACCAGAATTGATTAATAGAAAAGGTGTTGTCTTCCATCATGATGCTAGACCACACACATCTTTGATGACGCGCCAAAAATTGAGGGAGCTTGGTTGGGAAGTTTTGATGCATCCACCGTATAGCCCGGACCTTGCACCGTCTGACTACCATTTGTTTCGATCTCTGCAGAACTCTCTTGATGGAAAAACATTGGCCGACAAAAGAGCTGCCGAAAATCACTTGAAAAAGTTTTTCGCCGATAAACCACAAAAGTTCTACACGGATGGAATTATGAAATTACCCGAAAAATGGCAAAAGGTTATAGATAATAATGGCCAATATATACTTGATTAAAATTGATTTTCAATAAAGAAAAATTTCATTCAAAAATTAAACAAAAAACCGCGGATATTTTTTAGATGACCCATATATTTAAGTTCTGATTAGCAGGAATTTTTCTCCGATGAGTATGATATAATTATAAGGAGTGGTGAGGTATTACATAACCAACTACTGCAATTTTGATGAAAATAAATTGGATAATAATTTGGATAAATTAATTCTGAATCATATTCTATTAATGTGATAATAATTCTGTTCGACATTTTTATCTTAGTGCTTATCTATTAATAAAGCATGATAATTCAGACAGTTTTCAAATCATTATACAACAGGTTCTGACCTTTAACAGTTTCCTTATCCCCTCTTTAAGAGTACGAAGTTTAGAATCTACCTGATAAAGCGCGTGTTAAATGGTTTATGTACGAATATAAATACAATCGTGGAGAGAATGTTCAAAGCAGTGCGGCGAGAGCTGACGTGGAGTCATTGTCGCTTTATCACGACTGTCATTGCTCGTTCCTTTCGAGATAACGGTGAAACAGCAACAAGATCAGACTCGGGGAGCACTTGGATCCGAAAGTGTTCAACACAATCAAGCAAGATGGTGAAGGCGAGAAAATACATATTGGTGAATTATTTTGTGAACGAAGCAAAACCAACGGACTTAAAATTAGTGGAAGAAGAGTTGCCGCCGTTACAAAATGGAGGTAGAAAAAATTACATGATCAACATTATGCCTATGAGCTTATCAAAACACGTTATTACAAATGGGCGCAGGTGTGACAGCAAGCGCGGTTATTCAATTTAACTTCTTTTATCTCTTCGTGAAAATTATTTTGTGATAAAAATTAATGAATTAAAAACATAATATAAAATTCTTTTATTATAATCCAATTAATACAAACTAAAAGGTAACATTATTGTTACTTTTAGTTGGTGTTGACTAAAAGTAACAATAATGTTATGTATGTTGGCAAGTTATGTATTATATTCATGCATATATCTATCATATAATATATATTTCGCTTGTTTTATAATTATAAGATATATTACAGATATGTATTATACATTCTACACAAACACACATACAATTGTATTGTAACAGAAATTTATTAATTTATTTGAAACGAATTGGGAATTCTTAATTTGTTCTATCGAATAAATTGTGTTTGTTTTTGAAATCTTTTAAATCCTTTATACGTTACAACTTTATCAATATATTACGAATTGTACGAATTTTTACAATTTCTTATCCGAGATTAGATTTTATACAAGTATTTTTTATATATCTTTTTATTATATTATCTACTTTATTAATTGGTTTATACATCTGTATTGGTGATAAGTGAGATATTCAATATTTATATTTAAAGATAAAATTTTGATAAAAGAGTCAAGTAAATTCAGTGACGAATCAAATTTCGCTGCATGAATCGCACAATAATTTTATTGCGAAAAGAAATAATATGAATATTTTATGAAACAAAACATAAATGTGTTGATTTTACATGTCTCTTTTCGCATTAGCGCATTTGAAAAATAATTTACATATAAATATTGATACAGTTTTAATTTGTATGTTAGTAAACAGATTATTACCGGACGAGTGAGTTACCGAATCCAAGAGATTTCCATTTCATGATAGATAAAAATACAAATATCGAGAATTTTGAATTTCTGAATTATAATTATTTATGTAAAATATATAAATAATTCTGTCATGCAAAAATAAATTTAAATATACTTACATTATATAAACCATAATTTTTGAATTATTAATGTCATGCACTTTATCAGCATATGTCATTAATGCTTATACAGTACATAGATTGTCAAGAATAGGATAATAAATCTAAAAAATAAAAACAAGAAATGTTTCGTAATTAAAAATATATGTAATTAAATATATACGTTATTAAAAATATACAATTTTTCTTCATTTTGAGATTAAGCTAACATTAATAATTAAATTATAAAATCGATACTGACAATTCTGCTCTTAATTAAGTTAAGTTTATCTGTTATAATAAATTATTTTATGATATTATTTATATCTTCTTTTTTCTTTTAGAATATCTCGTAGAAGCTGAATATCTTTCTGTTGATCCATACATGAGACCTTATGTGCGAGATATCTCACTCGGGGTCACGATGATTGGTAGTCAGGTAGCAAAGATCGTAGAATCTAAAAATCCAGCCTTCCCAGTCGGCAAGAGAATCGTCGGAAACCTGGGCTGGAGAACTCACACGATTATCAATCCAAAAACCGAAAATGAGTTTTTAAAACAAAAACCGTATCTTTTGCTAGACATAGACGACCTGCCACCGTCTCTTGGTCTTGGCATGCTGGGAATGCCGGGGTAAAGATTTTCATCAACATATTTACTGGATCGTCTTGTACTTACATGAACTTGCTTGTCATCATCCTTCACGAAGAAAAAGCAAAAATTTAAAAGGCATTGCAAAACAGAATATTCTTTGCAGCGCAGCGATAACTTTCATTTAACTTTTGCTGTGTGTAGATTACATAAATTATGAACCGGCGCCTAGCATAATTAGAGATTCCTATTTGAAATAGAAATTTAATTCTTTGAAATATATAAGCATTTATTTTGATGTCAATAACAGAAAAGGAGATACAAAAAGATATAAAGATATAAAAGTCATCTGTCTGTGTGTCAATGATATTAAATATTAAATACTTCGCAATTACTGACGTTAAATAAAACATTGCCGCTTAGTCATGTGTGTGACACTTTTTAATCACATTTAGGATGGGTTATAATTTGATTATTTATACTAAAAACTATTTTAAAAAAATATTTTAAAACTAAAACTATTTTATAAAAAAATGACACACACTTTTATTATTCAATTTTTCAAGAATTTTTATGCGATCATTTATTGGTCTCCAATTTCGGGACACTCTATACAATAATCTATTTATCTTTCTCTTTCTTTCTTTCTTTCTATCATTCTTATTTACAGTAACACGGCATATTTCGGCTTGCTGGAGATATGTAAACCGAAGACTGGCGAAACAATCGTCATCAGTGGAGCCGCAGGTGCAGTCGGCTCACACGTGGGCCAGATCGCCAAAATTTTGGGCTTAAATGTTATCGGTATATGCGGCTCCGATGAGAAATGTAAGTGGCTTATTGAGGAAATGGGTTTCGATTTTGCCATCAATTACAAGACCACACCAGTCGCAGCCAGATTACGCGAAGTTGCTCCGCAAGGCGTGGATTGCTACTTTGACAATGTACGTATTAATAATTGTGTCTTTTATATAATCAATTAAACGCAAATTTTTTAATATGATCAAAGATGGCTTTCATGTATTGTAATTTTCAAACTTTTTATGTTACACACATCAAATTTTGTTAATATTATAACTATCAATGATCAATTTCTATTACTTGTATATATTTATACGTATATATTTATACGTATATATTTATATGTATATATATATATATATATTTTCATTATAATTAGTTTACAATTATATATAAAATTATTCAAATTAATAATAGAATGTTTTTTAAGATTTTCCGTGATTTTTTTTTGTAATACGTAAATAATTAACGATCAATTTACTTTCCTCTTTATTCTTTTCTTTCAAAAATTAAACACACTTTTGCTTTGATAATTCTAGAGTTAAAATATTACATTCTAAAAAATATGTTCTTCTCTATGATTAATTACAGAGCTCTAATCCATGCTTATTGAATTTGCAGGTCGGTGGGGATATCTCTAGTACAGTCATGTATCAAATGAATGTGTATGGTCGGATATCTGTATGCGGCAGCATCTCGAGCTACGACGCCAAGTCTTTGCCTAAGTGCACGATTTTGCAACCTGCTATGGTGTTCAACCAATTGAAAATGGAGGGCTTTATTGTCAGACGTTGGTCGGACCGATGGAATGAAGGAATCATGCAGAATCTGCAATGGATACGCGAGGGCAAACTTCGTTACCGTGAGACCGTAACTAAAGGCTTTGAGAACATGTTCGATGCCTTCATCGGCATGATGCATGGCGAAAACATCGGCAAAGCGATCGTCCAAGTGTAGATACCACAATGTCGATAGGCATTTCTTCTTATAAGTATTTCTGCTCGTTCGTAATTTTACAACTGTATTTGAAATGTTTTCTATATTTGTTGTTGCTTAATGTTTTTTTAAATAATAATCATACATTTAGACATTTAAATTTTGTAAGGAAAATTACAGGATAAATTACTATAAATATGGAATGGAATTTATATGATCTATAGAGATATTCTATTTTTATATGAAAATTCAGGTCCAGTTGATGAATCCGTTGAAATCGTTTATATATATATATATATATATACACATGTTGTTTACATCTTATCTATCGAACTTCTATGTATATGTAAGTCACATTGTGATTAGTAAAATTTTTCTCCGATAAATATGATATAATTATTATACGTAACGTATTATATAACTAACTGTTATAATTAGGATGAAAATAAAGATAATTTAGATAAATTAATTCTAATAGAATTATCGCATTCTGTTAATGTGATAATTCTTTTCGTAATTTTTATTTTAGCGCTTATCTAGCAGAATCGTAGATCAGTTATAATAATTCAAATAGTTATTAAATTACTGGATAATAGATTTTGATAAGCTTTATCTGTAGTCTCCTTATCCCCACTTTAAGATTGCATTTTGAAAAGCGCGTTATTAGCGCTATTTGTGTAATATTATCCTTATCTTATTTTTAATGGATGATGAAAACAGAATGATACAAATAGCACTAATAGCACTGCCCGAACGCAGCCTATTATGAATTCGAGCTTACATACCTCAGTATACACTAAACGCGTTCGAATTATTTATATGTCGAACAGTAATTGCGATCGAGTTAAGGGAATGCTGGAGTGTCCTGTTTTATCATTAATTATAAAAGACGCTTTTCTCTTAATTGTGTTGTAGATTGAAAAATTCTTCCCCACAATTGAAGTATCGACAACAACGCAATTCGCCAGCTACAATTGAATACGAAAAACGTGTCCGCGCGGAGACTCACCGATTACAATCGGAGCTTCTATCTGTTTTTGTTTTTTTCTCTGTCTCGCTCTATCGAAACAACAGAAATTGAAAGAATTTTAAATCACAAACACGGTTCTCCGTTTTCTTTTGACAGACTTCAGTTTCTTGGACTAATATTCGATACTCTAGCAGATGTGAAAATCTCCAATTTTTGTAAAATTTTCACGTCTGCTGGAATATTGAATATTAGTCCAAGAAACCGAATTCTGGCAAAAAAAAAACGGAGAACTGGCAACTGTGTTTATGATTTAAAATTCTTTCATTTTCTTTTTATTAAATTATATTAATCATATATCTTTTGCATTAACATATAATGGCAAAAATGATTTCAAAATATAAACATTGATGAGATATAATTTACGACTTTCTGTTCGCTGTATGTATCACGTTCGTCGAGGTGATCTGCAAGAACTTAGAATGAACTTAGTGATCTCGGGCATTAGGTGCAAGAAGAAATGTTGAAGATCTTATGTTCGATCCTGCTTTTTCCTTTTTTTCATAATTTTTTTTTAATAAATAACGTTATTAATAAACATATTACTCCAAATATATTTTTTATAAAATTATAGAAATTATACGTGTACTTCAATGTGCTCGAAATTAATTATGCATTTCGGGCGGATTTCTGAAGTGCTGCTACTACTTTTCCTTCACAACCGCTCAACGCTTGACGGCCAAACCGCTTATACGCGGACATGCATTTCAAGAGCGTCACAGTATAAGAGACATGCTGTGACCACACTTTCCAGCAAATTTTCATGGAAATATTTTCCTTCTTACATAATATTTTCTTAATAATGGTGATTGAACATCGTATTAAATAAATGCATTTTACTGAATGTAATGTACTTTTAAAATATTACTTTAGAAATCTAACAAGCAAATCAGTCATAAATCAGAAGTCAGACATTAAAAATTGACGATTGTGATTGATCAATTTTTAGTTTTTGACTTCTGATTTGTAACTAATGGGTTATTGTAAAAGGCCCATAATAAAAAGAGATAGAAGTTACTCATACTTAGTTTTTCATGCAGATATAATATAGACACATTAGTGAATATTAGAATTTTATGTGCATTATGATGTGTACATACATTACAAAACATAAAATATATTTCTAATTCATATTCACATACGTGTGTAGCTACTTCTCTTTTTGTTACGTGTAACAAAAAGGTGTACTGATGTCCTCTTTTTTCTACGTTTAATAAAAAGAGATATGTTTTTTTATGGTTAAATGTGCAGATATTAGTGATATATGCTTTTATATTTTCAATATCAGAATATACATACAACTAACATAAATCAAAGCTAATGAGAATCAAACGCAGATCAGATGTAACATCTTAAAAAAAAATAACCAAATTATAAATTCTCTGATAAATCCTCATTTTCAACACATAATGTTACTCTTTTTGCTCTGTCTAATAAAAAGAAATAAATACTTATAATACTTACATTACTAACATATCGACTTATATATCCAATATAGAAAATTGTATGTATATTATATTGTGATAATTCTAACATTGTTGTAACATATAAAAAAACATTATTAGTGAATATAAATTATAATACAATTACACAGTAACTGTATTATAATTTATATTCATTAATAATGATCACTAAAAAAAATATTGCTGCTGTTATGTATTATCGCACACTCACATGCATGATGAAATGATTTTTTAATCAACGATTAGGATGGCTTATATTTTGAGTTTATACGTTTTTATACTTAAAGAATAATTTTATGAAAAGAATCAATTTTACGAATCAATTTATTACGAATTTTCATGCTGCAATTTTATTTTTATCGAATTTCGTACACTTTATACACAATGAATTATTTATAATTTTTTCTTTCTCTCTCTTTCCTTCTCTTATTCTTGTTTACATTTTATACACTATAAATTATTTGTAACTTTTTTTTTCTTTCTCTTTCTTTTCCTTTTTCTTATTCTTGTTTACAGTAATACCGCATATTTCGGCTTGTTGGAGATATGTAAACCGAAATCAGGCGAAACAATCGTCATTAGTGGAGCTGCAGGTGCGGTCGGTTCACACGTGGACCAGATCGCCAAAATTCTGGGCTTAAATGTTATCGATATATGCGGTTCCGATGAGAAGTGCAATTGGCTTACTGAGGAAATGGATTTCGATTTTGCCATCAATTATAAGATCGGGCCAGTCGGAACTAAATGCGGGGCAAAATTGCTCCGCAAGGCGTGGATTGCTATTTTGATAACGTACGTATTTATAAAATATTGTGTTTTTTTTTTATTAAACGCGAATTTTTTATTAAACCCGATTTTTTCAATATGATCAAAGATGGTCATCGTTTGCTGTAATTATTAAAATTTTTACGTTATCATAGTCAATGCAACAACTATCGATTTTCTAATACCCTGCTTAAAAAGTCCGATAGAATAAAATAGGAAAAATCTCTACCTGATTAAATCGTATTTTTGGTTCGTAAATTTTAGATTATTTATCTGAAATATTTTATAAATTTTATATTCACAAAAAATTTTCATTGAATCAATTTTCTTTTTATTTTTTTATTTTATTAATTTTAATCCTTGCGGCTTAGGATTAAAATGTGGTTTCCAGTATACATTTATTTACATTTGTTCTTAATTTAATAACATCTGACCCCTATCCTCCTTCAGTATTTCTGTTCTTCATATCTTCCTCATACACAGCTCTATTCTCGCTCTATATATATATACGTATAAATACTTACAAACATTTGAAATACTTGAAATACATATAAATGCTATTTATTCAAAAACAGTGAAATACTTGAATACATATAAAAAATACATATAAAAGCTATTCATTTAAAAACAGTGTGTATCGCATATTACTTTCCTATAGCGTGCCTACACATAACTACTTGTGATTTTGGTACTTTATGATTGCTTGGAACTGCCCTTAAAATTATACTTATATACAACTTTGGTTTCTAATCTACTTGGTGCAGCAATCTGTGTCCTCATTCTTGTTTCTTTTCCCTCCCTTTTGCTTCTTTTCTTGCCTTATCTATCCTCTTTTCATTATCTCTATCCCTTTACCTTTTACGCCTATGAATTCTTCCATTAGCATTTTACTCTTTGTCTCCTTGCACTCTTTGAGTATATGGCTTATACTCTCTTCTATAGCATGGCAGATTCTATATCTCTTTTCTACGTCCTCTCTCCAGTACCTCCTTTTGTCTCCTTCCCACATCTAAACTTCTATCTTTCATCCTCTTTTTGCCTTCCAAGTATTTTGGTAACTTTTCTAACTGTATATTTTTGTAATTGTTATTATACCTTGACTCATTTATCTTTATTTATCTTTCTTCTTTCCCTCTTCTTTCTAGTCTCTTCAGTTCTCTTGAGATCTTCTGTTATACCTTGATCTCCTGCCTCTCTTACTCTTCTTTTTTTTGTTCCTTACATTCCTGGGTGTTCAACCAATTGAAAATGGAGGGCTTTATTGTCAGACGTTGGTCGGACCGATGGAATGAAGGAATCATGCAGAATCTGCAATGGATACGCGAGGGCAAACTTCGTTACCGTGAGACCGTAACTAAAGGCTTTGAGAACATGTTCGATGCCTTCATCGGCATGATGCATGGCGAAAACATCGGCAAAGCGATCGTCCAAGTGTAGATACCACAATGTCGATAGGCATTTCTTCTTATAAGTATTTCTGCTCGTTCGTAATTTTACAACTGTATTTGAAATGTTTTCTATATTTGTTGTTGCTTAATGTTTTTTTAAATAATAATCATACATTTAGACATTTAAATTTTGTAAGGAAAATTACAGGATAAATTACTATAAATATGGAATGGAATTTATATGATCTATAGAGATATTCTATTTTTATATGAAAATTCAGGTCCAGTTGATGAATCCGTTGAAATCGTTTATATATATATATATATATATACACATGTTGTTTACATCTTATCTATCGAACTTCTATGTATATGTAAGTCACATTGTGATTAGTAAAATTTTTCTCCGATAAATATGATATAATTATTATACGTAACGTATTATATAACTAACTGTTATAATTAGGATGAAAATAAAGATAATTTAGATAAATTAATTCTAATAGAATTATCGCATTCTGTTAATGTGATAATTCTTTTCGTAATTTTTATTTTAGCGCTTATCTAGCAGAATCGTAGATCAGTTATAATAATTCAAATAGTTATTAAATTACTGGATAATAGATTTTGATAAGCTTTATCTGTAGTCTCCTTATCCCCACTTTAAGATTGCATTTTGAAAAGCGCGTTATTAGCGCTATTTGTGTAATATTATCCTTATCTTATTTTTAATGGATGATGAAAACAGAATGATACAAATAGCACTAATAGCACTGCCCGAACGCAGCCTATTATGAATTCGAGCTTACATACCTCAGTATACACTAAACGCGTTCGAATTATTTATATGTCGAACAGTAATTGCGATCGAGTTAAGGGAATGCTGGAGTGTCCTGTTTTATCATTAATTATAAAAGACGCTTTTCTCTTAATTGTGTTGTAGATTGAAAAATTCTTCCCCACAATTGAAGTATCGACAACAACGCAATTCGCCAGCTACAATTGAATACGAAAAACGTGTCCGCGCGGAGACTCACCGATTACAATCGGAGCTTCTATCTGTTTTTGTTTTTTTCTCTGTCTCGCTCTATCGAAACAACAGAAATTGAAAGAATTTTAAATCACAAACACGGTTCTCCGTTTTCTTTTGACAGACTTCAGTTTCTTGGACTAATATTCGATACTCTAGCAGATGTGAAAATCTCCAATTTTTGTAAAATTTTCACGTCTGCTGGAATATTGAATATTAGTCCAAGAAACCGAATTCTGGCAAAAAAAAAACGGAGAACTGGCAACTGTGTTTATGATTTAAAATTCTTTCATTTTCTTTTTATTAAATTATATTAATCATATATCTTTTGCATTAACATATAATGGCAAAAATGATTTCAAAATATAAACATTGATGAGATATAATTTACGACTTTCTGTTCGCTGTATGTATCACGTTCGTCGAGGTGATCTGCAAGAACTTAGAATGAACTTAGTGATCTCGGGCATTAGGTGCAAGAAGAAATGTTGAAGATCTTATGTTCGATCCTGCTTTTTCCTTTTTTTCATAATTTTTTTTTAATAAATAACGTTATTAATAAACATATTACTCCAAATATATTTTTTATAAAATTATAGAAATTATACGTGTACTTCAATGTGCTCGAAATTAATTATGCATTTCGGGCGGATTTCTGAAGTGCTGCTACTACTTTTCCTTCACAACCGCTCAACGCTTGACGGCCAAACCGCTTATACGCGGACATGCATTTCAAGAGCGTCACAGTATAAGAGACATGCTGTGACCACACTTTCCAGCAAATTTTCATGGAAATATTTTCCTTCTTACATAATATTTTCTTAATAATGGTGATTGAACATCGTATTAAATAAATGCATTTTACTGAATGTAATGTACTTTTAAAATATTACTTTAGAAATCTAACAAGCAAATCAGTCATAAATCAGAAGTCAGACATTAAAAATTGACGATTGTGATTGATCAATTTTTAGTTTTTGACTTCTGATTTGTAACTAATGGGTTATTGTAAAAGGCCCATAATAAAAAGAGATAGAAGTTACTCATACTTAGTTTTTCATGCAGATATAATATAGACACATTAGTGAATATTAGAATTTTATTTTATATGCATTATGATGTGTACATTATAAAATATATTTTTAATTCATATTCACATACGTGTGTAGCTACTTCATCTCTTTTTGTTACGTGTAACAAAAAGGTGTACTGATGTCCTCTTTTTTCTACGTTTAATAAAAAGAGATATGTTTTTTTATGGTTAAATGTGCAGATATTAGTGATATATGCTTTTATATTTTCAATATCAGAATATACATACAACTAACATAAATCAAAGCTAATGAGAATCAAACGCAGATCAGATGTAACATCTTAAAAAAAAATAACCAAATTATAAATTCTCTGATAAATCCTCATTTTCAACACATAATGTTACTCTTTTTGCTCTGTCTAATAAAAAGAAATAAATACTTATAATACTTACATTACTAACATATCGACTTATATATCCAATATAGAAAATTGTATGTATATTATATTGTGATAATTCTAACATTGTTGTAACATATAAAAAAACATTATTAGTGAATATAAATTATAATACAATTACACAGTAACTGTATTATAATTTATATTCATTAATAATGATCACTAAAAAAAATATTGCTGCTGTTATGTATTATCGCACACTCACATGCATGATGAAATGATTTTTTAATCAACGATTAGGATGGCTTATATTTTGAGTTTATACGTTTTTATACTTAAAGAATAATTTTATGAAAAGAATCAATTTTACGAATCAATTTATTACGAATTTTCATGCTGCAATTTTATTTTTATCGAATTTCGTACACTTTATACACAATGAATTATTTATAATTTTTTCTTTCTCTCTCTTTCCTTCTCTTATTCTTGTTTACATTTTATACACTATAAATTATTTGTAACTTTTTTTTTCTTTCTCTTTCTTTTCCTTTTTCTTATTCTTGTTTACAGTAATACCGCATATTTCGGCTTGTTGGAGATATGTAAACCGAAATCAGGCGAAACAATCGTCATTAGTGGAGCTGCAGGTGCGGTCGGTTCACACGTGGACCAGATCGCCAAAATTCTGGGCTTAAATGTTATCGATATATGCGGTTCCGATGAGAAGTGCAATTGGCTTACTGAGGAAATGGATTTCGATTTTGCCATCAATTATAAGATCGGGCCAGTCGGAACTAAATGCGGGGCAAAATTGCTCCGCAAGGCGTGGATTGCTATTTTGATAACGTACGTATTTATAAAATATTGTGTTTTTTTTTTATTAAACGCGAATTTTTTATTAAACCCGATTTTTTCAATATGATCAAAGATGGTCATCGTTTGCTGTAATTATTAAAATTTTTACGTTATCATAGTCAATGCAACAACTATCGATTTTCTAATACCCTGCTTAAAAAGTCCGATAGAATAAAATAGGAAAAATCTCTACCTGATTAAATCGTATTTTTGGTTCGTAAATTTTAGATTATTTATCTGAAATATTTTATAAATTTTATATTCACAAAAAATTTTCATTGAATCAATTTTCTTTTTATTTTTTTATTTTATTAATTTTAATCCTTGCGGCTTAGGATTAAAATGTGGTTTCCAGTATACATTTATTTACATTTGTTCTTAATTTAATAACATCTGACCCCTATCCTCCTTCAGTATTTCTGTTCTTCATATCTTCCTCATACACAGCTCTATTCTCGCTCTATATATATATACGTATAAATACTTACAAACATTTGAAATACTTGAAATACATATAAATGCTATTTATTCAAAAACAGTGAAATACTTGAATACATATAAAAAATACATATAAAAGCTATTCATTTAAAAACAGTGTGTATCGCATATTACTTTCCTATAGCGTGCCTACACATAACTACTTGTGATTTTGGTACTTTATGATTGCTTGGAACTGCCCTTAAAATTATACTTATATACAACTTTGGTTTCTAATCTACTTGGTGCAGCAATCTGTGTCCTCATTCTTGTTTCTTTTCCCTCCCTTTTGCTTCTTTTCTTGCCTTATCTATCCTCTTTTCATTATCTCTATCCCTTTACCTTTTACGCCTATGAATTCTTCCATTAGCATTTTACTCTTTGTCTCCTTGCACTCTTTGAGTATATGGCTTATACTCTCTTCTATAGCATGGCAGATTCTATATCTCTTTTCTACGTCCTCTCTCCAGTACCTCCTTTTGTCTCCTTCCCACATCTAAACTTCTATCTTTCATCCTCTTTTTGCCTTCCAAGTATTTTGGTAACTTTTCTAACTGTATATTTTTGTAATTGTTATTATACCTTGACTCATTTATCTTTATTTATCTTTCTTCTTTCCCTCTTCTTTCTAGTCTCTTCAGTTCTCTTGAGATCTTCTGTTATCCCTTGATCTCCTGCCTCTCTTACTATTCCTTACTATTCCTGCTCTTTCCAGCACTTCTCGTCTCTTCTTTTTCCAGTCACCTTCTTTTCCTCTACTGTCCTTTTCCAACTCTTTTATACATTCTTTTATTAACTTTTTTCTTGAGTTCCCTATTCTTTCCTCGTACTTTACTGCTCTTCTTGCTTTAATTTTGATTTCATTTATCTTTGTTTTTTTTATCAGTATATAATTAGGTATTCTCCAGTCCAATTTTAGAATCCATTTCACGTACTTCCTTTTTATCCGTCTAGTCTATTGTCGTTCTGCCAGCCCCACTCCTCCGCTCCACAGGGCTATACTCTCCACCAAAGAGTTGAATATCTTTATTCTCCTTTCGAAGTTGTCTTTGAATATTTTTTCTCCAATGCTCCATGTTCCCTTCATTGCCACTGTTGCTTTCTTTATTCTTTCTTTTATATGTTTCTCAGTCTCTCCGTTTTTTTGTACCCTAGATACTTGCTTTCTTTAACTTCTTCTATTTCCTCTTCTCTCTATTTCCACTCTCTCTTTTTTATCCTACTTCTTCCTTTCTCAAATATCATTATTTTTCTCCGGACTCAGATTCAGTCCTTTTTTTTGTATAAACCTTTCAAATCTCTTCAGCATCTCTCTCATATCAGTTTCTCTAGCTGCCAGTAGAATCACATCATCCGCGTACATTATTGTCCAGCATTTCTCTTTTCCTATTACTACTCCTCCTGTCTGGCCTTTTATCATCTCTTCCTCTAAGTCTGACACATATATATATTAGGTGTTGGAATTAATTCGTAGCGTTTTTTAATGAAAGAATGCTACTTTCACTATATTCCTTGTCTCTTTACGTCTCCATAACTCGGAGTCTGAGGTTGTTCTCTATCTGCATCTTTCTCATCATTTCATTTAGCAACTTCCTGTCCACATTATCGAATGCAACTTTCCGATCCGTGAAAAAGGCAAACATCTTTCCTCCTTTTTTGCTCAATTTCCTGTTAACCACATGATTTGTGATTATGTAAACTGCAGTCATCGTTCCTCTTCCTTTTCTGAATCCATACTGTCCTTTCTTCAGCTTTTCCTCCGTTTCTTTTTAGTCTTCTGTTTAGGATAGTCGCGTAAATCTTATATGTCTTCATCTCTGTGTCCATTAATGTAATTCCTCTATAGTTTTTAATTTCTTCTTTATCTCCTTTTGTAGATAAGATAGATTAAGCCTTTGTTCCAATCTAATGGTATTCCTTCCCCTTTCCATACTCTGTTAATCATTTTCTAGAATTCATCTCCGATTTCTTTGGACATAAACCTCCATGCCTCATTCTTTATCTCGTTTTCTCCCGGAGTCTTTGCTTTTTTTAATTTTCTCAACACCTTTATTAACTCTTCTTTTACAATTTCTTCTACTTCTTCTCTTCTTGTCTTTTCCTCTTCGCTTTCCTCACTTTCCATATTCAGAATCGTTTTCTCCCATCACGTGCCCCCTAGCAGCTCCATAAAATGGTCCCTCCAGCTGTCCATCTGTATATCCTTGCTTGGCCCATCTGATTTCTTCTTCCTACTTGTTTATATATTTCCATGCCTCTTTCTCACTTCTTATATTTTTTATCTTTTCTTCTTCTGCTTCCTCATGCTTTTTCTGTGTTTTACACCATTCTTTATAATTCTTCCTTTTTATTACATAATCTTCCTTATTAATTCTTCCTTTCTTCAGTTCTCTCAGTTCTTTTCTTAACTTTCTTTTCATACTCTCCATTCTTTATTATACCAATCTTTCCTAATTTCCATGGGAGTATTTTCTTTTTATCTTTCTTGATCGCACTTTTAATCTTTTAAGTGCCGTAATTAATCAGCATATATTTGGGAATTAAAAATATCTGTTTGCGTTACATCCAAACTCTGACTAAAAAAAGTTAAATATTCTTGAATCTCAAAAAGTTGGATATTCTAAAATGACGTAAATATAAATTATTTTGGTATATTACATGCTCGCGTATAAAATATATGTAAGTTAGCGCCTTTATGTAAATTAAATGTGCATTGAATTACACCGTGTCACAAATGAATATTTCCAATGTTAAAATAAATTTTTTTCACAAATAATTGTATCTATTAATATTAATTTTTTATTATGATTTTGTATACACTATACATGCATATGATTCAATTTCTTGGCTATTATGAATTTAGAATATGGAAAAACTTTATACATAGCGTGGTATTTATAAGAATATATTATATTAGTTAAATTACTGCTCATCTTAACTGCTAACTATTCATCTTAATTTATTGCCTTTTTAATATGTTAATATAACAAAATTTCCGTTTCAACGTTTATCTACTTGAACTAAAATATAAATATTAATAAGATTATAATGTTGATAAGATATAATATTATAATATTGATAAGATATAATTTACATTATTTGACTTCTAAAATACCGGTCAAAAGGTTTTTTCACAAGCTTCATCGGTCTGTTGGACCTTTAGAGGTATCTTCACTAAGCGGCACGATCGCCAACAGTTGTTCAGTTGACAATGATACGCAGTTGTGTGAGCGTCGAAAACTCTGAGCGTCGCATTTGATAATGATTGAACATGAATAATGCTCCTGCACATGCACCTGCTCATTCAGCTCACCTGATTCAGAAGTTTTTCTAAACACAGCATTATCCAACTTCATCAACCTTCGTACAGTCCAGATATAGTCCCGTGTGACTTTCAGTTATTTCCTAAGTTAGAACATCCATTGAAGGGCAAAAGATTTGACGATGTTGAAAAAATAAAGTAAAATGCGACGAGGTGTCTGTTGGCTATTACAATAAACGACTTCCAGGATTGCTTTCGCAAGTGAGTGTACCGTTGACAGAAGGTCATTGCTTCGAAAAGAAATTACTTTAAAGGCGAGGTTGTAGATATCACTCCGGAACAGCTCATGATACAACAAAGGTCGAATACTTTTGAGACAGACCTCGTATTTTTTAAGAGTTAGTGTCAATCTATCTTACGTATCTGCGCATTTCAAACAATTTGTGTGCAAATATAAAGATGATCATGTTCAAATCAATATTGCGTGAGATATCATGGAACCGCAGTTGCTTTATCGTGACTGCTCGTTCCCTTCGCAATAATGGCGGTGAAATCGTATTGACGATTCCGAGGAATGTTTGCATTCGAAATTTTTCATCGCAATCACATAAAATAGTAAAGGCGAGGAAATATGTGGTAGTAAATCATTTTGTTAATGAAGCAAAGCCAACGGATCTAAAACTGGTGGAAGAAGAGCTGCCGCCGTTGCAGAATGGAGGTAAAAAAAAAAGATGTAATCATCATAAATGTCCAGTTATTAATCCGATATACATTGTCAGTATTGAAAATCTATAATATTTGTAACATGAACTATAGTTTTCAGTACTGATAATGTCAGAATACTTTTCGTCCATGAGCGCATCGATAAGCTCATTATTACAAACGGACGATATAATTACAAGCGCGATTATCCAATATGCGCTCTCAGTATTTTTTGTGAATATTAAAAAAATGAGTTAGAAAGACATATGGTAGGAAAAATTGATAAAATTAAAAAACAAAGGATTCATTTGTTAGAAATTTTATATATAAAGGAAGAGAAATTCAAGGAACACACAAAGATTAACAAAAAAACAAAATGACTTTATTTTAATTTTTTTATATCGATAAACAGTCAAATTTTGTAACAAAAAAATCATTATTTTAATTTTCATGACATCAAAATAGAGTCATTTTCTTGGTCAACTTTTTCTTGGTTTGATTCGGTGTATTCCTTAGATGGTATTGTGGCTCTTAGGTATAATGATCCCTCTTAGATTTGGTTCCACTAATGTAAAATTAATCTCAGTATAATAATTTACTATTTATTTTTTTATTTAGTTTTTACTATTAGAAAAAGACAAAAAATAAATTGAATCGAGATTAATCTTTAGACTGTCAGCATTTTTTCATTAAAATAGTAATTCTTTTTTCTCAAAAATTTTTCTATATAAGTAATATACACATGGCGTAAAATTTCAAGATTTGTGCAAAGCTACAAAGCTTTTCCAGTAGGGAACATACGATGAAATATAAAAAACGTTTATTTTCTGAAAAATAGTGTATTTTGAGGGCTTTTGGTATCGTTGATTTCAATTCTGAACATAGATGTATAAAATTTCGAGCTCTAAGACAACATAAATGAATATAAACATACAGACTCAGAACTTTCCTTTATCCAAAGCATTACCCAGAGCTAACGACATGGACGTAGAAAGTTTGTAGCTCCTTTTTTATTTTCTTTTTTATTTGATTTTTTAATAATTAATAAATATAATTTAGGGCAAGTAAGAGTTTAACATATAAATTTATATTTAACAACCAAGAAATTACAGATTTGAAGATATTAAAACAATTAAAATAAATATATAAATATAAAATATAAATAAGGACTCTTAAGCGCTTAAACAATAAAATATAAATAATAATCCAGATAGGGCTAATGAGAGTCATACGCTGTTGTAAGAACGAAGAGATAGGAGAAACAGATAATCCTCAAAAAACGAAACTCATAACTTCTGTAATTTTTTTACTCAATGTTATAAATTAATTAATCGTTATTTTTGAGCTTCGTTTTTTATCATTTCCCATTGAGTGTAATGTATGCTACATTTCTGGTAATCTGCAAGTGCCTTGCTTTCAGTAGAAGATTGTTGATTTTGTATTCGCTAAAGATAAAATAACTTCAAAAGGAGCAGAAACGTTCGAAATAAATTGAAGATGGCCAGCAACACCTGAGGATTATCTATTTCTCCTATCTCTCTGCTTTTACAAGAGCGTATGACTACTCTCATTAGTCCTATCTGGATTATTATTTATATTTTATTGTTGAAGAGAGAGAGAGAGAGAGAGAGAGATATTATATACTAAGATATTATAACATGTTTCTGCCTAAGATTAGACCCTCTTCAGAAAAACGCAATGTTATTACATTAAATTCTATGACTACCAATACTGGTTTAATATAGTAACATCATGCGTTTATCTGAAGAGGACCTAATCTTAAGGTCGAAACATTTTATAATTAATTATATAATTGATTCATTATATAATATCTTCAAATTTGTAATTTCTTGGTTTTGAATATAAATTTATATTTAGACTTTTACTTACCCTAGATTGTATTAGGTGTTGGAATTAATTCGTAGCGTTTTACAAGTGATGGGAAGTACTTTCATTAATGTATTTTTTAATGCTCATGTGAAATAAATAACATTCTTTCATTAAAAAACGCTACGAATTAATTCCAACACCTAATATTTATTATTTACTTATATAAAGAGTTCTTTATTATCATTAATTTTGGTTTTTAATTTTTAATTTTTTTTTACCTTTTTCTTGTTTAATAATCTTTTTACATTTTTACATTTTTTGATTTTTTTGTATATTTTTCAATATATATTTTTTATACGTTTTATAATTTTTATTTTTTAATACATACATATATGTTTAATACATTTAGTATTAAAATATTACTAAGTAGTGGTATTTTAACTCAAGAGCCATAATAGTGGCTTTCTAAGCAGTCTAAAGATTAATTTTATGTAGATAGAACCAGGTTTCAATATCTCCGCTTAGATAAAGAATTCTAATGATTATTTATGGAATCATTTGTTTTTTAGCTACATCATACTATGCTAATACACAAGGCATTTATTATAATATATTTTTACTTTTAAAATTTTCGAAATATATCGTGAAATATTTATTAAATTATATACATTACTTTCTCATTCCTCATAACTTTGAATGTAATATATATATATATATATATATAAAATCACATTTTAATTATTCATATTAAATTAATTTTATCACAATTATAATAAATTATTTTACGATGAAAACTTTTATTCTTTTAGAATACCTTGCGGAAGCTGAATACTTTTCTGTGGACCCATACATGAGACCGTACGTGAGAAGATACCCGCTCGGGATCACGATGCTCGGCACCCAAATCGCCAAGATCGTAGAATCTAAAAATCCAGCTTTCCCAGTTGGCAAGAAGATCGTCGGAAATATGGGGTGGAGAACTCATACGATTGTCAATCCAAAATTCAAAGATCGGGTGTTCCAAGAACACCCGTATCTTTTGCCAGACATAAGTGATTTGCCGTCGTCCCTTTGTCTTGGCATTCTAGTTTTGCCAACACGCTTACTCGATCGCCTTGCTAATGTATTTATCATCTCGCAAACAAAAGACACATAAAATTTTATAGACGCTGCGAGACAAGATACTTTTTATGTGTTGTAAGGCTGACGGTATTTTTATTTTGATTATGTAGATTATGTAGATCATGTAAACCACGAGACGATACTAGAATTAAATAGAAATTCCTGACTAAGATAAATATATTTTTTTTCAAGATATAAATATTTATTTCTAATGTTAATAACAAGAAAAAATATATAGTAATTTAAATTATTTACACGAAATTCTCTCTCTCTCTTTCTCTCTCTCTCTCTCTCTCTCTCCCTTCTTTTTTCCTTTTCTTTCTTTCTTTCTTTCTTTTTTTTCTTGTTAACAGTAACACAGCATATTTCGGTTTGCTGGAGATATGCAAACCGAAGTCTGGCGAAACAATCGTCGTCAGCGGAGCCGCTGGTGCGATTGGCTCGCACGTAGGTCAAATTGCCAAGAATGTAGGCCTAAATGTCGTCGGTATATGTGGCTCCGACGAGAAGTGCAAGTGGCTTATTAAGGAAATGGGTTTCGATTCCGCCATCAATTACAAAACCATGCCAGTAGCGTCCAGTCTATGCAAAGCTGCTCCACAAGGCGTGGATTGCTATTTCGATAATGTGCGAATTCTATGAGATATTGGCTGCGTTCAGCAGAGAAAGCAGCTTTGTAACTATTATAAAATTCTTCAATATGATTGGTTTGTACATTTAGATCTATAAGGAATCTAAAGCAAGCGCTAATCGTATTAAAGAATTTTGCAACAGTTGCAATTGCAAAGCTGCTTTCTCTGCTGAATGCAGTCATAATATTTTTTTTTTAGTAATTCAATACACGTGTAGATCATTATTTTCAAATGATATCTTTTATCTCTTTCAATAACTTTTGATGGAATTTTTCTTTTCAAAAACATCAACGATGACCACTGTTTGCTGTATAACTTTTCTTTATGTTATATCAAATTCTGTTAACATTATAGAATTACTGATAACTAATTTCTAGATACTCATTAAATATATATATGCATATATGTGTATATATATATATATATGTATATGGGACGTTTTGTGTCAAGAGGGCCGTCTCTTCTTCCAAAATTTGACCCAACGAAAAAAAAAAGTTTAAATCTCAAAATATTCGTACATTTGTATACTTTCGAAAGAAACGTCTAATATGATGTCTAAAATCCGCAAAAGTCACGAATGTTCTTATAACATCGTCGATTTAAATGCGAAAACTTGACGAATCAGCTTGAAAATGATTACTGTAAATAATTACGAATCTAGAGATAGAATTATAAAGTTCAACATGGCGGATTTGAAATCAGTACATAACATTTAAAGTGTCATAGTTCATAATTGTTGTTTACGTCGAGTTTAATACTTTACAACGACCAATGGCACCAGAATATCGCATTACTTGCAATTTTTTTCTTCAATAATAAGGAAAGTATGTTCACTTTGAATTTTCATTACTCGCGGAGCTTCGAATCATTTAATGTATCAAAACATCCTTATTTTTTCGAAAAATCAGTCGCAATGAAATTGTTGTAAGTTGTTGTCAACATTGATTGTAAGTTATACTTATCGTTTAATTTGCAAGTAATGCGATACTCTGATGCCATTGAACCAATGATCGCTGTAAAGTATTAGATTCGACATAAACAATAATTATAAACTAAGACACTTTAAGTTTTATAATTCTATCTCTAGATTCGTAATTATTTTACGTAATTATTTTACAATAATCATTTTCAAGCTGATTCGTCAAGTTTTCATTTAAATCGACGATGTTGTAAGAACATTCATAACTTTTGCGGATTTTAGACACTATATTTAAGCCACCATATTGAATTTTTCAAAAGGCCACGTTTTATTCGAAAGTACATAATACACGTGCCAATATTTTAAGATCTTAAACGTTTTTTTCCGTTACGTCAAATTTTGGAAAGAGAGATGGCCTGCTTGATGCGAAACGTTCCGTATATTTTTGTTATTATATATTTTAGGGCCGGTTGTTCCATCTTTAGATAAACTATGCAATAATTTATCTATTGGATAAATAAAAGAGTAAAAGAATAAGAGAGTAAGATAGTGAGCTGAAGTTTACCGAAAGGTGGAACAATCCAGCCTTAAAGAAACATAGATGCAGAGGAAATATAAATTGATCGATTTATTAATTCACACATTGCAACAAAAATATCTCATAAAAAATTTCCGAAAATGTAACATTACAAATTTGAGTTATTTTAAAAATAATTTTTCTTTGGTAAAAAGTTACAAATCCAAAACTGAAAAGAATATTGTTCTGCTTTCTGATTACTTAACTGTTAATGATAATGTTGATGTCGTTATATTGTCATTGCGTAGGTTTTATAAAAAATAAAAAAAATCTGTAAAAAATAGAATCTTAATTTTAACTTAAAGACGTATAAGGGACTTTTTGAGATATGCAAAATTATTAAAATTAACATTTTTGTGTTAATTTTAACATTTTATATATCTCAGAAAGTTTACTATACATCTTTAAGTTAAAATTATAAAACATTTTATTTTTTACAATTTATTATATATTCATAGTAAAAAAGTTATGCAATGACAATTTTATAATTCTTAACGACTCCGACGCTGTCGTTAAAAATTACAGAATAGGGATCTTAATAATCCATATATTTATTAATTTTACAGGTTGGCGGAAATATCTCCAGCGCAGTCATATACCAGATGAAGCCATTTGGCCGAGTAGCCGTATGTGGTAGCATCTCGAGCTACAACACGGACCGCTCATCTTTGCCAAAGTGTACGATCCTGCAACCCATTTTATCGAAACATGAATTGAGAATGGAGGGTTTCCTCGTTACACGCTGGATGGATCGATGGAATGAAGGCATTATGCAGAATCTGCAATGGCTACGCGAGGGCAAACTTCATTACCGTGAGACCGTGACCAAAGGTTTCGAGAACATGTTTGAGGCGTTTATTGGCATGCTGCGCGGCGAGAACATCGGCAAAGCGATCGTCCAGGCGTAAACATCATACATCTATCGGCGCGAACCGAATCCACTTCTCATAATATTAATGCCTTCAATTCTATAACTGCATGTTATGTATAATATTTTTTTATATTTTTGAGATATTGAGAAAGAGATATTGAGATATTGAATTTTGTATTCAATTTCCAAACGTTCTTTACGTTTTTTTATATTATAATCAAGCGTTTTATATAGACATTTAAAAGATCGGAACTATTAGATTTTTATATATATATAAATTGGGTTCGTTCGGTTTTTTTAGTTCAAAATTGTATATATAATAATTTTACTAAGAATAGACAAAATTTAAATAATAAAAAAAAAAGATTCTAAAACTTGAAATTTTTATTTTTGAAACTTATTAAAGTTTATTTACTATACATATTTCTTTTTTAGTTTCTGTAAGTTTGATAATTTTTACATATAGAAAACTACGAGCCGAAGAAGATGGAAAATTTCTTCTCACTTTATGGATCTATCATGTGTTAGAAAAAAAATTTGTAAAAATTTTTGACTATCTATGTCATGAAAACATATTTCATCGATGATAATCTGGAGACACGATAGTGTCTCGGCGCTAAAACAAACAATATTGGATTGGCAAGGAAGTAATTGCATTTTTTTTAGCTCAAAGTTGTACATACAATATTTTCGTCAATAATAAATGAAATTTAAATTAAAAAAAAAAAGATTTTAAAGTTTGAAATCTCTACTTTTAAAAGTTTACTACATTTTTTATAATAAATTTATATGAGTTTGGTAATTTTTATATACCAAAAACTACGAGCTGAAAAAGACGGAAAATTTTCTTCTCATTTTTTAGGTTTGTAACGTGCCCAAAATAAATTTGAGAAAATTTTCGACTACCTATTGTGCCTATTTTTTTAAATGTTCCTACGATTTTTGATTACTGAGTTATCGCGGATTAAATAAAAGGATCATTTGGACTTTAATTGCTCATAACTCTATTAAAAATTATTGTATCGCAATTGAAAAAAGAGATTTTTAAAGCTGAAACTTTACTCTATCAAGATATATTTATATTGTTTGGTAAAAAAATAATTGCGGTTTTTATTGATAGCTATCTTTTTAAAAAACGCAATTACTTTCTTGCCATCCCAATATGACGTGAGACACTGCTATGTTCCTTTACGTGAGCGACAAGTTGCGGCAGATTTGGAGAGACCATTTGGTTAACAATAGCTGAACTGATCAAGTTCTATATACGCTCAATCGATAGCTATCATTCGGATTGTATCATAAAAGTGCTTTTATTTTTGTTTCTACGTGTCGTAATTCTTTAATGTGCTCACCATCAATTAACTGTTCTTTTTTTACGATCTCGCGAATTTACTGCGCAATCACTTAACGAATCGTCAACATAAATTTCCAATCATCAATGAACGAGTGGTAACATCCGGCCTTTCATACAATAGCGAAAATAATTTCTTACTTCAGGGAAGCAAGAGCAGTTTATTTTCCGCAAATTTTTCTTCACACCTATCAGATATTCTTCTTGGATCGAAAGCGGACGCCACGCTTGCGTTTGGCTAATGGCTTTTCCAAATGATGCAATACGAGATGGCTCGTGTTCCTGTATCGAAATATCGGTAGTTTTTTTCCGTTTCCTCGGTTTAACAAATGAAAATTGTATCGCTTTTACGATATTGATTTTTAATAATTATTGTTATCAATAATATTCGCGATCATTATTTACGATAATTACTTAACTCGATATTTTTGATGACGTCAATGAAACATTCTGATTTATCAACATTATTTAACAGAACAGTTCAAAAAATGACCGAAATATGATGCATTTTTTCGATAAAAATATTAAATGATAAATAAACTATAAAGGAAAATGCAGATTTATAATTATGTGAACATCAGATGCAATCAGGTACAACAAGAGACATTATATTCGTAAAAATATCTGAACGAAAATTTATAAATTTATAAATTTATAAAATAGGCTTTTTCTATTGTTATAATTTTATTTGAATTTAAAATATTTAAGATTGGTTGTTTCACCTTCGTATAAACTATGTGATAATTTATTTAACGAACAAAAGAAAGAGTGGACGAGATGCGAAAGCGAATAAACTAAAATTTATCGAAACCAGCCTAAGATTTTCAATGTATGCTTTTTATTACAAAAAATCAATTTATTAATTACTTTACTTTGAATAGAGATTGGCAAAACAAAAGCGATATAGTACATCCAAATTCATATCACTATTTAATTTAATAAACGATATCACATGATAATATAATTTGCTTTTAAAATGTAACTTTAGATAGGGTCATTTTTTACATAGCACACCAATTTAGATTTTTCCTTTCCTTTTAGTTGCATTTGACGTATATAAATAGCACTTACAAAAATGTAAGAGAATATCTTTGATCGATTTCAACTTTTTCTAATATTATATAAATAAGTAATACTAAAAATTCCACTCTTCTACACGTGCAGTTCAAATTGTAATACTTTTGATAAATTCCGTAATGATGACTCTTATCGTGCGTACATTAACATAGAATATTATTACCATAAAGTTTATTGCCGTCGAACACACATAGTTTTGCATGTGATGACGTAAGAAACATAAAAGGTATTTTTTTTAATAATAGTGTACTCATAAAGATCATCTATCGATATGGTGTATATGTTTTTAAACTGCCTTTATTATATTATGTGTATATTATATTATAACAAGAAACTGGAATGGATAAAAGTTAAGTGACAATGAATTAATACGTCTGCCGCAACAGATCGTAATAATAAAAGCAGACCTGACATTTGCAAAAAAGCAATATGCATCTGTGATGATTTTTTTATCGAATCTTCGGTCTGTTATTATTGCATGTAATCAAATGAAATCAGAGCCAATAAGATTCAGCCACAGCGATTTTCACGCCCAAATTGATTTAAAACTTTATATCAAAATTGCTTCTATTTGTTACACAAATATATATAAATATTACCTGTACAAAAGTATTTTTTCAATTTTGCACGAGATCCGTTTCACAAATATTTTTCTTTAATAAAAACAATTATCGCAGAGAAATCACCAATTATCGAAATGTAAATATTAATAATAAAAGAAAAATATCTTCAAGAAAAAATCTTTGGTTTATTATTTATTTAATTTATAGATCAAATTACATTTTAACGAAGCATCAAAGACACAACTATTGGAAATATATTATGTTAAATAAAACAAACTAGTTTCACATTAAAGTATTTTGTAGAACAAAAATACAATGTTTATAAAAAAATATGTTTTTTCAATTCCTACATTCAATATGCAAAATAAATACTCTTTATCCAAAACAAACTTACAAATTAATTTTTTTACTTCTTAAACTATGAGTCTAAAACGGAATGCATGGAAAAATTGATAAAAATAATAGATTTGCGACTTCTGTCGTTTATAACTTTTGAAGAAGAGAGCTTTCCAATAAGCATATTTTATGCATGAAATGTATGGAAAAACTTTGTGAGTGAATTATGCAGAAATTTAAATTAGGCATAGCTATCTCTAATAACCTTCAAAATTTATAATTAATTTTGACAGATCATGTTTTAAAAAAATGTTCTAACAAGAAATATTTAAAATATTCTAACAATTCTGATTTTGTTTATTTTGAAAATAAAATTTACAAAATGATTATGAATTGATACGAAAATCGAAAATTTGTTCTAAGTTTCCTTATACAAAATTCATGATCATTTTTAAAGTTTTATCAAAAAGTGATGTAATGTTCCACGTATAAGTAAGTGTTATTATTCAACATGGCATTGTCCTTTGCATTTTCTTTATCTGTCATTACCAAGAAAAAACAAAAAATTATGTATTGTAGCATAGTACACGTAACAAGTGAATGATAAGAGGGAATCATAATTATTCAATGTATGTTGTGTATGTAAAAAAATTATTCTTGACATTCCTCGACTTTCTAATAAAAATTCAATAAAACTCATTTACATTCGTAATATTCTTATTTTCGTGATAAGGTCATTGGAACAAATATGCGAAAGAAACGTTTTATCATCCTCTTATTGATAATCAGAAATAATTCATTAAAATTATAAAAGCGCGATTGTTACAATCACAACTACTATAAAACTTTGAGCAGAATTAGAAATTTTTATTAAAAGAGAACAATATAAAATCCACATGAAATAGTAGATTTAATGAGAAAATTAAAAATTTTGAACCTGTTATAGCGTACAGTGCATCATAATTTGAACACTTCATATTCAATCTTTCGCCGCGTATTCACGACATCGCTTTATCGGATTTGAAATTTTATTTGTAGGAAAGTAAATTATAAAATTGTATTTTGAAAAACATAAATTTTTATATAAAATGAATGAATATGCGAGAACAATTATGAGTCACACATAATTACACAAGCGATAGATAACATAGCTAGTAATTATTTCGCATTATAATTATCGGTTTTTACCTTTTTTTTATAAATACGCCGAATAAGCAACATGAATTCCATTAGCATAGTAGCCATTCGAATTTCTACTGTCAATATCATTCGATAAAAACATGGGTTATAAGATTTTACATTTGCTGATCTTGGCATTTGTCGTAGTCTGTATCCTGGCTCAACATTTCGATTAAGTTTAGGAAAAAAAAATTATTTTCCTGTGTACATCCGGATTTTTCTCTCACAACCTGATATACGTATCATTCAAATCAGATATAAAATAAAGCAATAGTAATAATATATAATAATAATAATAATAATAATAATAATAATAATAACACGGTAGTAGCAGTTACTAACAATAAGATACATTATTTTGGCATGTATCTTACACCAACGTTTTTCAACCATTTTCAATTAGCGACACATTAAATAGCGAGTCAAATTTTTCAAGGTACATTAGGTGAACATGCTTTAATACTCAGATGTTTTATCAGATATCGCTAACATGATATTTATAAATAAAAAAAAAGTTGTACCTTTTTTATTTTTTTAGTTTTCATTTTACTATTTTAAAAGTAATTTTATTGCGCAATAATGATATTGCTTTTGATAAAATTAGAATAATATAACTTCGATAACCTTTATAATTTTATAAAACTTTTTTACTTAGCATTTAACTTGGATTTTACTTATTCTATGTTTTTTATTTCTTTGTACTTTTTTTTACAGAACATTTTTGCAGAACACTTAGAGACCTTCTCACATCGTTTTATTAATCCTGATTTTATTGTATATTTAATTGCGAATAAATATTGTAACATAAACTAATCTGTGCTTCGCGGGTTTTCTCCATGTCTTGGTCCATTCTTGATGTGCCAACGTTTCGTGGGCCTTGCAGTCCACTTCATCAGGGCGAGGAGCAGCCTGATACTGAGCTGTTCCTCCAGGTCCTTCCTTTTTATGTTACGCTACTTGTTGAGGTGGGAGATTTTGGTGGAGGGGGGGGGGTTAGAGTGATGGGGGAGACAGATAGTGGA